GGAGGTACAACTACTTTCCTTTGGGGACCTCCTCTCTCACTGGGTGTGATTATGTGGAAATTTCCAATCACAGTGCTCCACCCACCTCTAAAGGCACGGGCTGGTACATAAAGCTAGCTTGGCCAATCACAGCATCAATTTCCTTGGCATGGTTTTGGCTCAGGTTTGGGCAGGACCCTGACAGAGCCAACCAGAGTCGTCTCTGGGATTGGTGTATGAATTTTCACAGAGGAAAAATGTTTCATTCTGCTGAGGAGTCCTGAGCCCCAGAGTGTAAAGAATACAAGAAAGAGGACCTTTCGGTAGGAGAAAATGAGGTCCGTTGACCTAGGGAAGCATTAAAAATCCTGCACGGTCCTTGGGATTCAGCACCATTAAACCTTCTTAGTCTCATGAATGAAAAAAAATTTTTTTTTTTTTTTACTTAAGTTAATTTGGGTTGAGTTTTTGTCATTTAAAATCAAAAGAATGCTGAAAAATAGAGTATGCATACTTTTTTGGTATATTAAAAAAAAAAGAAAACCGTTCCATTCACACAGTGTTGTTTCTAATAAAAAAGAAGGCAGTATGATGACTACACTTGAGGAACGCACATTCTATTTGGGGACAGGGCTGAGATTTACAAATGTCAGAACTTCACTTCCTCATCTACATAGTGGCCTCCTTGAGAGCAGGAACTGGGTTTTCTAGTTCTCCATCCCCATACCACATGCACACCTGGGCCCAGTGACTGGCACATGTTTAATAAGTAACTACTGAATAGCTAAGCAGATGGCACCTGCTGTAATGTTTGTTAGGCCTTTTATGGACTAATCTTGTATACTCTGTTTTTTCTCAGTTCCTTTCCCTAATGTACAGTACCACTGACCTTTGGGAAACTCATTATATTATTCAGTAAAACAGATTCTACAAACTCAGAATTGCTCATTGTAATAAAATTTTCCAGGGTCTACAGAATAGAGGGACTATTTTATAAAAATGATCTGAAATTTCCTAAACTCATTTAAAATTGTAAAACATGTTAATATTCCGTATTTAACTAAGCCCATAGCTTAGTTAAACTAACCAAAATGTAGTAAAAACATAAAATATTCAAACAGAACATAGTTGGATTTTTATTGTCTAAAATATTACTTTCTTTATTTAAAATGCACCTTGGCAAACATAAGACTATACTTTGACCAAACGAATGAGAAATGCAGAACAAATAGAGAATAACCAACCAGTATTTGGAGAGGAGCAGGTGGGGAAGTTTTGATTAAGCTATTTCTGCTTCCAAACAGAAATCCTGGTTATAGGATCTGTCACAGATATGCTGACTTCCAATATGTTATGCTAAACAGAATTTCAAATCTTTACAGCAGCAGCAAAAAATAGTCACAAGATACATAAAGGATTTTAGCTCTTACCGCTTTCCCCTGGTCTTGTATTGATCTGAGGACCTCAAGAGTTTGAATCCTTCCCCCACCCACAACTTCTTGTCCTCCTATTTTTAGATTCTTGCTTGAATACTCTTTGGTAGCCACTCAAAGACTTTGAAAATTGCCCGCTTAGTTCCTATCTGGTCCTCAAAAAGCAGCCAAGCTCTGGGTGAAGGGAACATTCAGGTTCAGCCTTGTGCTCTGGGCATTGGCAATCGTGAACAAAGGAGAATGGCCTTAATGTCAGGAGTCTATTACTGGCTGCAGCAGCTTCTCCTGGTTCCAGATATACTCTTTGTGGCCAAATGAGGTTTAATAGACAGAATCATTCTCTAAATGGTCATCTTGGCCACAGGTAATCAATACACATGGCCAGAATGGCTGGGGAAGCTATTGGGCCAGCTCCAGGAAGGGAAGGGTTGACAACAGAGTTTGGAACTCTCTGGGCAACAATTAAGAACGGTTTACATGGTAGTCTATGTTGGAAATTACTTATTTGGACATTTTCCCCTCAGAGGCTACTCTCCTAAAAAATCTGTTTTGTGGTATGGTATCTTAAATTTATATCTACTCTGTTCTGTGGAAGTCCTATCTCATTCTTGGCACCCCACAGAGTTTCAGGAATGTCCGAAACCTCAGAAAAGAACAATTGGAATCATTCTTTTGCTGAGACAAGTATGATAATTTCTTCAGAGATTATGAAAATCATAACTTATTATCGCTGAAAGGGATATTAACAATCTAACCCAGTCTTTTTATTATATTTATTGGTCATGAAGTTGAGGCACTTTGAAAATTAAGTGACTTTCATGGTTAAATTATGGTCTACATAATAGATATGGTTACTAAATTGGTGGCACAGTGCACTTCAGCCGTTAGATGATAACCCGGGGGCAGGAAAAATAATGGAACGTCTCTTTATGTTTATTTATCTCATCTGATATAATAAAGATTATTTATAAATATTTAATAAGAATGGCTAATTATGACTTTTATGAACACATAGAAATGACTTCTATGAATGTATGTGGCAATATACATGTTGTATTCAAAATCAGTGCCCTAGAATTTTTTATCCTCTTTTCATGTTTTTCCCCAGAAACAGTGGTTATCATGTTAGATACTATATCTTTTACTTATGTACTTTGTTTACAGTGTATCTCCCTTCTGCTGGAATGTAAGTTCCATGAGGCAAGACATCACCAACCCTACATGGGGAGCTCTTTGGACTGTAAACCAAACCACCAAGAAAAGAAGCAGTTATTTCTTCTTCTCTTTTCCTTGCCCATGACTTATTCTAGAAGTTTATGAGCATGTGTTCTAATATTACCATTAAGTCACTTACTATAGGATTCTAAGGAAATCATGTTGCTTCTGTATGCCTCAGTTTCATAAGCAAGTTGGACTTGGGTTGGACTAGATAATCTTTTTGGTCCCTTCCAGGTATAACATTTGTTCCCTGTTCTATTTCTAGTTCCTAGAACAAAGAAAACACCCAATAAATGTTTTTAAATGAATAAATGAATATATTACTGGTACATAATGTGCAAACAAATATACGTATGTCAGCTGTGAATGCTCAAGAACTTTTTACCAGTGAGAATACATTATTTGTAATGTTTGGAGCCCTATCAGTTCAGCAGTTTTTGTTTGAAGCATGCTAGGGGGACTGGTTAAGGGTTAAATGGGGTACTAATGAAAGAGGGTACTTGAAGTGAGGGCTCTTCTGTTCAGTGAAGACTGTAATTCATCGGGAAAGGATTTTTTTATTCTAGAGATTTGTTTGAATGGCCTATTTTAGTCATGAGAAAGTAGGACAAGTAGGCAAGCATTATTTTGGGCTTAGAGTAGAGTAGGAACTATGGTGACTGAATCCAGGGCTTCCATTACCTTGGATAACAGGTTAAAAAAATGATTTCCTTTGGGGATCATAGGGGGCAAATTTCTGCTTCAGAGATTCATTTTTTTTTAAAGTTTATTTATTTATTTTGAAAGAGAGAGAGAGAAAAAGCAGGGGAAGGGCAGAGAGAGACGGAGACAGAGGATCCAAAGCAGGCTCTATGCTGACAGCAGACAGCCTGACGTAGGGCTCAAACTCATGAACTGGGAGATCATGACCGGAGCTGAAGTCAGACTCTTAACTGACTGAGACACCCAGGTGTCCTTGATATTCAATTTTAAGAAGAACTGGGGAGGAGGTCACAAGTTGCTCCAAACAAGGTCCAGCAGCAGAGAAGAGCAATGACATCCTTTGAATAAAATTCCCAGAAGAATAGTAGACTGTAGCCTGGCCTGGATCCCAAAGTCTAAGTTTTGGGAGTAGAGCAGATGTTGCTTGTTATGGCACACTCTATACCTCAGGGCAGATGTTCTGCAGGACCTAGTCACATGGGCTGTTTTCATGATGTGCTTTGGAGGACAATGACTTAACAGTGTGTATGACCTCCAACCTGCTGCCATGTAGGTTTCTAGACCTGGCATTCTTCACAGAGTTGGTAGGCTCCCATAGGACTGAGCAGGACTCAGCTTCAAAAGTAACACTCTATGGCAGGGAGAAACAATAGCCATGGTGAGCTAATCAAAACTAAGTTTTCTCTATTCCTGGTATTAAAACTTTCTTTGTTGCTGGGTGAGTCCTTTAGATACTTGGACAACTTGAGTTTGGGATGGAGTAATGGGGTCTGATGTACGGAGGGACTGCCCAAGCAATTGGCTAGAAAAAACAAAAGAGATGTGAAAACTGTTTTACTCTGAGTGTGTTTAGAGATTTTCTACAGTTACATGGTGTTTTTTTTTTTTTTCCTCTTTTTTTTTTAAACCTGTGAACATTCAGGATCACATTAGAGGTGATTTTCCATTAGTATTGTTTCAGAAACCATTAGATACTTTGGCAAGTGAGTGGACAAAGTCCAAGTTCTGAGATTGAAACGTGTGAAATTAACATATATTTTCAGTTCTGACAGTACACTTATTTGCATTGTCAGGGTACTTACATTCTCTGATTACTGTTTTTATCTCTTAGGAGGTCACAGAGAACTCTCCTGTTGTATAATATTATTAATCACCCAGGTAATCTTTATAGGTCAAACAGAAACAAAAGAAATTGCATAAAGGGTCACATATCTCAAAAGAACAATAGCAAATGTCATATTGATAATACTCTGCCTGAAAGAATTTGCTCTTTTTCTTCTAAAATATCTAGTTTAAATTAATTTCCTCTTTACAGTGGTGCATTGTACTGCCTTAAGGAAGAAAGGAAAGGTAAACATTATTCTTTGTTTTTTGTTACTTGTAGATCAAGACAGTTGCATTAGCGCAGTCATACTGCATTAAAGCAATGAATGTAGAAGTCTCAGATGTAATATGTGGACCAGGTACTCACATGACAAAGCCCATCAGCTGGTCCCTATGACACCCAGGACAGCTCAGAGTGAAAGGTTACTTAGCTTCTCAAACTCAGCCACAGACCCTGAACAGCTCTCAGGAAGATAAAGGCTAATCTGAGGGCAAAAGCATATTTGCTCCTCAGGGCTAATGTGTTTATACTTAAAAAATAAGTTTAACTATTGGGGCACTTACATCTTGATTAGACATTTCCCAATAAGGTCTCTCTCCGTAGGACATGACCTCCCACATGACAATGCCATAGCTCCATGCGTCACTTGCCGAGGAGAACTTTCTATAGGCAATAGCTTCTGGGGCTGTCCACCTTATCGGAATTTTCCCACCCTGGAAAACAAATTGGAGATTTCTCAGCTGGCTCACAAGTATATTAAAAAACCAAGTGGCAGTCCAATTAAATAGATTTTGTTAGAAAGATCTAAATACTGCATGATAGCATTGGCATTTTAAATAAAAGTAAGAGAACCAGAATAATGTTAAATGTCAGAAATATCTTTCCTATAATAATTATTCAGTGAAAACAACTTTAATGGGAAATAAGTCACACTTCAGAAATACTTTATTTCATTCATTAGAGAAATTTATTTTCACTTTAGATTCACACAATTAAACTCACTATCATGCCATTTGAAGAAAGTTCTGGATTATAGAACGTTAACACCAAATATCGTTCAGCATTCATTAAACACTATTACATGTATAAATAATAATGATAATACGTTCTAACTTAATTGAAGATAAACAGTTAAATACAGAACGGAGACATTCTCTGTAATTCAATGTTTATCAGAACTTTCTCTTTCCTTTTTATCTATGATTATATTTACTTCAAATTAAGAAATCCTTTAACATCATACAAGAGCACCTGAGAAGGATTATCTTTCTTTATGATACTTTAGGCTAGTTTATATTCTTGTTCTTCGGTGTTCAAGTTAACATTTGAACATGTTAAAGAGATAAAATTGCATGAATTTAATCTATATTGTTCAGGTATTAAAGTCGACTAATGTGTTATACTTATTTTTTTATCAACATTTATTACATTTTATCTCTCGAAACACTCTATAAATCCCTTTTTACTGTAATGACAAGAATAAAACAATTCATCCGTTTGAGTTACAATCTGAAATCTTTGCAGCGCGAAACAGCAAGCTGAGCGGAGGAGGGCGCCCTCGACGCCACTAGATGGCGGAAGAGAACGAGCTGCGCCCAGACCGCGGAGATGGCTTCTGCTGGCAACATAGATTTTTAAGTCAGAACGCACCTCGATGGAATTGTTTCATCATTATCAGCATTTCCAGGATCACATCATCTGATCCCCCACTGCGTTCAGAGTCTGATGTTAGGGTGAGTGGGGGTGGGAGGCAATAGTGGGTGCATTCATTGGCCCTTGAGGAAGTTAGGTCGAACATTTTTAAAGGTGAAGCCATGAATCGAGTAATCTAAACACTACTTTTTTTTTTTTTTTTTTTTTTTTTTTTAGTAATCTAAGCACTTACTCGAAAAGAGATTCATCCGAGAGGGGAATAATTAGGTTTACAAGGCAAATGAGAGCATTAACGGAATCCTCATTTTAAAGACCTGTAGCAAGGAAATGTTGAAGGAACCTTGGGGATAATACCTTGAATTCAATCCCCTGATTTTACAGGTGAGCAGACTGAGCCCAGGGTTTAGAGATTTAGAGATTCCTCTCAACATTATTAAATACATAATGTCTACTAATGTTATCATAGTAGTATTATGGGGTATCAATATAAAGATGTAAATACTTCAGCATGGGGAAAAAGTTGGACCAAACTAATTTTACTGGCCTTTCCAAATGAAGGCCAGGAAATTAAATTTACAAAGTTGGTGACAGTAGTTGAAGAGGGTGATGGGCAGAGGAAGCGAGTTTTAAGAGGAGGATTCATTTCTAAACCCAAAGTAGAGTTGCCAGATAAAATATAGGCCCCACTGTTACATCTGGATATCAGGTAAATAACAAATACTTTTTCTTTCTTCTTTTCTTAGTCTAAGCATGTCCCCATAAAGGAATACATTGTGTGTGTGTGTGTGTGTGTGTGTGTGTGTGTGTAGCTATGTCCAAGTATTTCATGAGACATTTATACTAAAAAAAAAAAAATGGTTTATCTGCAATTCAAATTGGACTGGGTATCCTATATATTTATTTACTAAACTGTGCAACCCTACCACAGAACATTAAAAAAAAATTCAGAAATGGAAGTACTGTAAATGATCCAACACATAAAATAGTATTCTGAAAAAACACCTTGCAGTCTGTACTTCATGAGGGGACCAAGGACACTCTGAGTTGTATTTGTGCACCAGCACTCCAGCAGCCTTTGTTTTATGGCATGTTTGTGGCTAAAGTCCCTGGGTCTCATGGCTCTGAATTTCAAAGCCACTTAAGTCAGGCTCAGGCTTGTTTCGAATATGAAGCCACATTTCCAGAGAATAAAGACCAAATCTGTAGAGCTAACTTCAGAACAGATGCAAGAGCAGCAGTCTCATTTGACATTTCTCATTCTGGATCTTTCTTTGTCTTTCTGGCAAAAAATACATAGAAATCTGCTGGCCCTACTAAATCTTTGTGAGTTCTATTAAGACAGGCCAATAAAAAAAAGTAGTTAACGGTTATTTTAGGTGCATTCACTTACTATTATTATTTTTAATGTTTATTTATATTTGAAACAGAAAGAGACAGAGTATGAGCTGGGGAGGGTCAGAGAGAGAGGGAGACACAGAATCTGAAGCAGGCTCTAGGATCTGAGCTATCAGCATAGAGCCCAATGTGAAGCTCAAACCCACAAACTGTAAGATCATGACCTGAGCTGAAGTAGGATGCCCAACCAACTGAGCCACCCAGACACTCCTAGGTGCATTAACTTATAAATGACATCTCATGTAAGTGAATCACATATAAATTTATATTTTGCATAAGCTGATATCACATATAAATGATAACTTTATCCCTTTCCTAAGAGTTTGTTTTTTTTCCTCAAGGAGAAGATATTACAGAATGCTTGATTAATAGCATTGCTATCTGTTATGAACTGAATTGTGTTTCCTCAAAGTTCACATTTTGAAGCCCTAAACCCCAATGTGACTGTATTTGGTGATAGGGCCTGTTAAGAGGTAATCAAAGTTCAATGAGGTCGTAAGGGCGGGCCCTACTTCAGTATGATTGCTGTCCTTATAAGAAGATGAAGAGATGCCAGATGTGTGCAGGCACAGGGGAAAGGCCATCGGAGGACACAGCAAGAATTTGTCCATCTACAGGTCAAGGAGAGAGACCTCAGGAGAAGCCACACCTGCCAACACTTAGATTTTGGATGTCCAGCCTCCAGAACTGTGAAAAATAAGTTTTTGTTGCTTGAGCCATCCAGTCCCTGGTATTTTGTTATGGCATCCCTAGCAGACCAATACGCTACCCCTATGAAAAACCAAAAATGTTTATCTAAGATAAACAACATTGCAAAATGGACAGCAAATCTTTATTTCAAATTCTATTCCAAATGTCATCTTGAAATGGGAAGTGTGAGCTAGAATAAATCTGAAAGATGAAATATCATCACAGAAGTTTTAATGTAGGAGATATAATTCTAATTAATAAAAACACATGGTAACATGAACCTGACAGTATGCACAAATTTCAGTAATTCTGAGCATATATGGGATGGAGATAAGGAAGCATTCAGATCTTTTTTTTTTTCTAGTGGCTGGATACAGACTGAATATAGTTGATCTCTAAGTGCAAGATACAGCTGAAAGGAAGAGGTCCTTAAGAGTAGCACATGGACTCTATCCCCTTTCCTACTTTAGAGGACACACAGAAGCTTAGTTCTCCCCCTCCACCTTTTTTTTTTTTTTTAATTGAGTGGACCAACAAACATTTGTGGTTTAATCCCAGCTACTTATTTTTGCCCATGATCTTGAATCATAGAGGTAATGCACTATGTTACTTTTTTCTCAAAGCATTAACCACCAGATGTTTGTTTCAGGTTTCAGGAATGAACAAATAGTACTTTAGATTTGAAATCACAATCATTGGAACATTACATATTGCTTTACCATATGTTTATGAGGGGGAAAAAAGTTACCGGTGATGCTAATCAAAATGATTGAATGTAACTCAAAAGACTTCTTATTTCCTAGTACCTGCCTTATCCAGCAAGCTTAATCACTTAGGGAACAAAGGAGAAACAAGAAGTAAGCAAACCGGATCTGGTTCACTATGGAAAGGGTTGTTAGCAAACCTTTTCTCTGCTTTAAAAGTCATATTCAGAGCTTAGTGTCTAAAGAGGGGTTATAGCAGGAAAAGTGCTGAAGAGGCAACCAGTAACCTTGTATACCTGTAAACCCCATACCTCCTGAGAGGAATTGCATTATAACTGTATTTAACATCTGAGGTTTAGAACCCAATCCTCTAATCTTCAGTGGAGGAGACAATCAATTGAAATATAGTGAGGTTACAAAGGCTTAATACTGAAACCAAATAGAAAACTTCTACTGAGAAACAAGAATACTTAAGACTCTCTCCATTTCTCATTCACTGGATTTGATGGTTATCTTAAAGGCAAATGGTTAGAATAGACAACGACCAGCCTGCAGATGTTTTTTTTTTTTTTTAATTTTCTTAATCTATCTCTGTAGTACGCACACTTCAATGAGTGTCAGAATTAAAACATATATACAATGCTTACAGATTAAGAAATTTCCAACAACAATTTTAAGTATTTCTCTTTATGGGCTGCACATTCTAAGTGAGATGAAACTCTTCTACAGTCCATTGTGTGACTTCGGGCAAGTCTTAACTCTGAGTCTTATATTTCAGATCTGCAAAATGAGGGGATTTGAATTAATGAGCATAAACTCGTAAATTACAGTGCGTTTTAATGATTTGCCTACAGTTTCTTGGCTACTGTTAAATTGTAAGTAGACAGGCCGTATGAGTTGGTACCTAGTCCACATAAACAGATAGCCTGATGACACACAGTACAGGAGACAAACACACTCTTGAGTCACATCCCAGGCCGATAATTAATGGTCACAGTGATCATCCTAACTCATACGGAAGAGTTTAAATAACTTAATCATTTTTAGTTTAAGAAGGTAACAGTATGAAAGTACATATTAGAAAGGTATGAAAATAGGACACTGACTTTTTTCCCTTTTTGTTTTTTACTTTTAATGGGTTAAAATACTCTTAATGAGCAACCACTGGTTATTTGGAAAACTCATTATGCGAATGATTACTGATGTCAGATGAAAGGGGCATTAATTTGTTTACTGAAAGATCATTTTACATTAAAATGTCTTGTCAGTGG